TCTCGTGTTTTTTCTTCTGCAGTAATCATTTTTCCCTCTTGTTAAATCTGAATTCTTCATTGTTTCTCGGATTTTCTTTGCGTAAGTCTTGAAATTGCCACCTAGCCATGATTCCGTGAGAGAAAGCTTCAATTACTTCTCGTTCGGTGATGTCATGCACTTGAGCCCGTAGTTCACCGAATCGCCGATAGTAATTTCTCGAGACTTTCGCCCCCTTTTGTTTGAGTCCTTTCGATTCGGCATGAGTGATCGGGTGTGTGATGATACTGCGAAATTTTCACGTAAAGCTCTTTGCAAGTCTTCCCAGATTCTCGATCGATCCCGGGTTCAATTTATCGAACCATTGAGGGCATCGCTTCCGGTGCCATGGGAAAGAACAAGGTTTTGATATCATCGTCTCTCCTCGGCTAGTTCAATCGATTGTGAATATATTCGAGCCATTGCCTTGGTTCGGTTTTGCCATCATACTTGGAGTGATTAGACGGTTTGAATTTGTGAGGTAATCGTACTGATGCCAACCTGTTTGCAAAACAGGGAAATCATCATCATGCGTTAAGCTTCCTTGAATTTGGATTCGGCTCCTTCTTCTGGCCAAGTGTTGTTTTGATGGGAATAATTCTACGAGGCTGTCTGGGTAGGCCCTCTACTCCTGGTCTTCCTTGGTTGTTCAAATTGATGGCCCCGACTATGTTCCCTCCTACTTCCTCCGCTATGGCTTCCACCTAGTACAAGTCTTTCAAAAGCGGACTTCCTTTGATTTTGATCTTCTTGCCTGCGGGTTGTTGATCTGGCGGGTAGTCTTGATCGGGCTCTCTCTTCATGCGTTCTTGGGATCGTTGACCGGAGCAAGTCCTGGAGCTGTTCGTACTTCTCTCCGTGATGTGAAGTTGCCCTGAGTTCTTCTAATGCTTCTCAAATCTTATCGTAAGGTGTACTCACTGTGCGTCTCTCTTCGGTCTCTTGTTGTGATTTTCTTTTGTCATATTCAGCCAATTCTGACTCGTATCTGGTCCAGGCTTCTCTACGCTGTCGAGCGCGGTGCTGGCGCCCTTGTTTCAACTTGTTTTTCCTTTCTCTAGCCTGTCTCTGACTCTCGGTTTCTCCATCGTAGCCCTGAGCAAAGGGTGATATGTTGGATTCTGATTCATCTGATGACCTGACATCGGGTGCTTCTGGGGGGTTTAATGGTGACCGAGGACGTCGAACCATGAGCACTTCCCGTGCGTGAGCCGTTCTGTTATTGTTGTTAGTTTTCATACTGTTGGAGTTGCTGATGACTTCAGTATGCGTCTCGACGTCGTAAATTGAGTCTCCCTCTTGGTAAGGTAGAATAGCTGTTGTTGTGCCGACTAGTTGGGTTCCGCTATCCTCAGGAACGGATCCTGGCCAGTGGATGATACAGTCTTGCGATGTTATCGTTAGTACGAGACCCTCCTGGGCTCCTGTCAGTGGTATCCCAAGTGTTGGTTTGAAAGACCCTTCAAACTGTCCCTGATAGGATTTTGTCGTGTTGTCGAGCCCAAATGGAAAAGAACTCGGCCTTTTGAAAAAATTCTGAGGGTAATCCGAGTTGTTTTGGGTTGTGCTCTGGAATCTTGCCAAACAGGAACTCGACTTCTTGAAAGCACTCGAATAGGACTTCATCTCGGATACGGAGCTTGAATTCGAGTCGGATGCGCAAAGCCGTGAAACCTGAGTCGAATCGGATATCATGAGCTGCGCGAATCTTCCAGAGATATGGTCTGTCGTAGTCGCCGGAATAGAATAGTCTTCATGGTGTTTCGAATCTTCGAGGAGACGGCTTTGGAGCTTGCCATTGCTGTCCGCTTCGCAGATCCACGAGCCAAAGATGAAAGTTGATCCCGTCGAGAAGTTCATGTTGTTGAGGTCCATCGAGCTCTCGGATGCAAATTCGCCGAAGGCCCCTACCTGGCGCGCCAGCTGTCGATGTTTTACCACCGATAGCCTGCCACGGGGGTACCCGGGGCAGTATGTTCGGGCTTCGGCGTATGCTGAACTCGATGGTAAACGCAAGAGACAGTCGATTTATCCTGGTTCAGGCCCTCGATCGTAGATCGAGTAACGACCCTACGTCCAGTCAGCGTTTGCCTTTTGCGTTGGATTGATTATGAAGTGTTATGTTGTACAATCGTTGTCCTTCTTTAGGAGCCCTGCCCTCCTTTATATAGTCAGGAGGCCGGAGTCCTAATCGGTTTACAATGAGATTTCCTAGTAGGATTACTTAATAGTTCTATTACTAAGATTACATGGGAAGAATCCTAGTTGAACTAGATCTTCTCTCTCTCATGTGGGGTATCCTGTGGGTCCCGCATCGACAAGCACCTATTGTTAGTTCTCCTGTGACAACAATGAATGAACATGAGGAATCTATCCTTCAGGATTCCATAGAACCCATTGTCACACAAGAGGAAGAGTAACAACAGCCTCATATAGAACAAGCGTCAACTAACGAGGCCCATAGAAGGTCTCAAAGAGTCAGAAAATCAGTCATTGCTGATGACTATGAAGTATATGAAAGTGAGGAATTTCAAATGGAGGGTGATCCCACCTCATTTGAAGAAGCCATGAGAAGCGCTCACTCATCAGAGTGGCTTGAAGCCATACAAGATGAAATGAAATCAATGAGTACCAACAATGTTTGGGACTTAGAATCAATTTCTAAAGGAGCCAAGACAGTAGGCTGTAAATGGGTCTACAAAACTAAATATGACTCCAAAAGAAATGTAGAAAAAATTAAAGCGCGACTTGTGGCGAAAGGCTTTACGCAAAGAGAAGGCATATATTACAATGAGATATTTTCTCCAGTCTCATGTAAGGATTCTTTTAGAATTATAATGGCGCTTGTAGCACATTACGATTTAGAACTACATCAGATGGATGTAAAGACGACGTTCCTAAACGAGGATTTGGAGGAAAATGTTTACATGGCACAACCAAAAGATTTTGTTGTGGAAGAAAAAGAACGTATGGGATGTCGCCTAAAGAAATCCATTTACGGATTAAAATAAGCCTCTAGACAGTGGTATTTAAAGTTTGATGGAACAACAAGGAAGTTTGGGTTTAAAGAAAATGTTGAGGACAATTGCGTTTATGCAAAGTTCAAGAATGGGAAATACATTTTTCTAATCCTGTATGTGGATGATATCTTACTTGCTAGTAGTGATGTCAATCTACTACTAGAGACAAAGAAGTTCTTGTCCTCGAATTTTGATATGAAGGATCTCGGTGAAGCTTCGTTCGTTTTAGGAATAGAGATTCACCGAGATAGAACAAAGAGGGTTTTAGGATTATCCTAAAAGGCATACTTAGAAAAGGTTCTAAAGAAATATAGTATGCAAAATTATAAGCCTTCCCCTGCTCCCATAGTCAAGGACGACAGATTTGGAGAATTTCAATGCCCTAGGAACCAATATGAAATCGATCAAATGAAAGCGGTTCCATATGCATCAGCTGTCGAAAGTTTCCAATATGCTCAAGTATGTACACGCCCTGACTTAGCGTATGTTACCGGGTTACTTGGCAGATACCAGAGTAATCCAGGAATAGAACACTAGAGACTGGTAAAGAAAGTCCTACGTTATTTGTAAGGCACGAAAGGCCTCATGTTAACATATAGAAGATCTGATTCCCTACATATAGAGGGGTATTCAGATTCAGATTATACGGGAGATAATAGAAAGTCCACGTCAGGATATATATTTACTCTCGCTGGAGGAGCCATATCGTGGAAAAGCTCCAAGCAAACCGTCACTACATCATCTACAATGTATGCCGAGTTTGTAGCATATTATGAGGCCACGGGGCAGGTCAATTGGCTAAAGAAATTTATACCCGGGTTGAAAGTGGTAGACGACATGCATAAGCCACTCAAGTTGTATTGCGATAATAATCCAGCAGTATGTTATGCTCACAACAATAAGTCAAGTGATGCTGCCAAACACATTGACATAAAGTATTATGTTGTGAAAGACAAAGTCCGGGATCATATAATTAGTCTTGAGCATATAAGTACAGAAAAGATGCTCGCAGATCCGCTTACAAAAGGCTTACCACCCAACGTGTTCAGATAACACTTAGCCGGCATGGGTTTAAGGGAAAGCCTATGATTCCTGGACAATAAGAGCCTAGTTGAGAATCTGTTTCAAAACAGAGAGGTGCATTGTAGCTGTTTAATCTAATGGCACTGACTGTGATGATGAGGCACGATCTATGCACTGATTTGTGATGGAATGAAAAAAAGATAAAGTAAGTTAAGTTTAAGTAATAAGATGAGATCAAAAGGAAGATTGTTAGTAGTGATCTTACCAGCTCGGTCCAATAGCCGAGTTGGGCCTTGACCTCGCGCCCTGATCGGGGGCGCATAACCCTACATAGTTGGTGGGCCCCCGTCACACTGCGCTATAAACAGAGGTGGGGGCCGGCGGCTCTCTTCACGAGGTTGACCGAGCTACAGTCCCCACCGACAAAACCCTAACACCGATCTAGTGAGGGTGTGTAGCCAGTGACGGGAAGCACCACCACGAGGTTCGCCGCCGCCACTGAACCACACCTATGACCGCTACATCTCCCGACGCTCTCCGGCAACATCACCTACGTGATGGACGGCTCCAGCAGCTCCACCAAACCCTCCGACGGTCAGAGACCACTGCCCCTCTCCCTTCTTCTCCATTTAGATCTCGTAGTTCATGTTCTAGGGTTTGTTTATCATGTTCTAGTCAAGTCGTACCCGCTAGATCTATTGCTAAGGTCCTGTTTTTTAATCTATCACAAAGAGCTTAGTGCTGTTCCATATTTATTTTATCAAACATAAATAAAATATATAAATAGCGAAGTGAAGTATGATAATGCTTCAGCTGTTACTCTGCTTCAGAAATAGCTTTCAGACAACAAGTCATTTGAAGCAGCAGCATTTCATTCCAAAACCAACAGAGACAAAAACCTACGGTGGATTGTTCTTGGTGGTGCACTAAATATGTCCATCAGCCTTCGAATAGCTCTTGCAGCATCTCTTCTAGCTCCTGGGGAGTAAATTTTGGAGTGGTAACATTGTTATCCTCTATGTATTTTCTGTAGACTGGAATGATTTTCTCTATGATAGCTTCCCGTAGCATTTTTCTGAGTTCAGGATCTGGGACCTTCCACAGCTTTTGGGTGGTGTATGTTTTCTGAAATTCAGACTCGAACTTAGGCAGTGGGGAATAATGTTTTCCAAAGCAAAGAGGTGTAGGATTGAACAAGCGTGACAATACTGGTGCCCAAGATACTAGTAGATGGCTCTCAATGTAGCCCTCGATTTTCTCAAAGAGAGCCGCCACATAGATGTCGAGAGAAGAGTACTTTTGAGGGCTGCCACGTATGAAGTCTGAGTTGTTGAGCAAGAATAAGAACAGGAGCCTCTCCCGTATGAAGTATGAGTTGTTGAGCAAGAATGAGAACCCGACGCCTTGATCTGGAAATGATTTTGATATGTTGACAAGCTTTTCTTCAAGACAAGACGCCAACTCCACGATCATGCTGTTCAAAGGAAATAGGTCTCCAATCTGTGCCTGTGGCACATACTTACCAAGCCTAGCTGCCTCGGATACAACTGCATTCACTGGCGAGTAATGAGAGCGCAGGAAGCTGATGTGCCTGGTAATGGTCCGAGTGGCCTTGTGAATCTCGGGTGATCCTTGCAGGATTTGAGAACCTGAAGAGTTGATGACGCCGTCGTCCTCTATCGACTACATGACAAGGGTCCTAATATGCTCCATATGGCCTCACCCACCTTGGCCTCCCTAGCTGACAAGAGGCGGACTGTCTTGCCCTGTATCCTTTGAACTTGTGCAGTGGAGGACGAATGGAATGACAACTGGATCTTGGCTAAGGCCCTGGACAGAGCATCGTGCACACCCAGCAGGGTACTGAGCTTACCGTATTGTTGCGTCCCTCCCCGATTCATAAGAGTAACTACTTCAATTTGTTGTATAGAGGCCTTAGCATTCGGAGCAACTATGACGTCAACAAAAGCGAGCATTTCCGACATGGTTTCTTGGATAAACTGTGCATACTGGAATGGATCCCGTTGCTCCCACTCTCGGCCACAGGGTCTTCTTTGTCCTCAGAGATGCTGGGCAGGCCCAGGGAGCCGCGATCCGGGAAGAGCGACGCCGACGCCAGGCCAGGCGGATGCTCTCCGTGATTTCAGCGAGAGCCCGGATCCAGCTCTGTGCAGGGAGAGTATGCTCCAGCGTCACTGCGACATCAGCTAGGTGGAGAACCCAGTCGACGCCCAGCTCCGTGAGCTACCTCTCCAGGATGCCCCGGTTCACCGATAGGGCACCCAGTAACTTCCTTTTCAGCAAGTTCGTCTTGGAATTTCTTTGAGCAAGTGGCGCACCAAAGAATTCCTGGACCATGCTTTTCATGTGCTTCCTCTTCATCTCCATTTGTTCCGGGCACAGGTAATAGTCGAAGCCTCGAAGGGCAAGTACATGGCCATGGACGCCTCCGTAGAGATGGAGGAGACGTGAGAGCCGGTAAATGTGTAGCCAGTCGAGACTATGGTACCTGATGATGACCAGGAGCTGCCGATGCTGTAGGGGCTGAATCCGAGGTTGCTCCAAGCCCCGCCGCGGCCACCATCCCTGTCCGTGCCCGTGGTCTCCATGCTATTGCTCTTGCTAGGATGTTAGAATAATCTACTGCTTTCTTGTGTGAACACACAGCAAGGAAAAGTGACACCGAAAAGGCTCCCTGTTGTGGTACGGTAGCCGCGTCAGTGGCAGGCGCCGAACGGCTCACCTACCGCACTGTAGCCACATGCAGGGACATGCGCAGAAGTTAGTCCTGCTGTGTTATCTAGTCACTGTTACAGCATGTGCGTTATACTAGGACTAGATAGATAGAGTTATATAAATAAACTACTACGGCAACTCAGTAAAGAGAATCTAGTTACTGTTACAGCATGTGCGTTGTACTAGGACTAGATAGATAGAGTTGTATAAATAGACTACTACGGTAACTCAGTAAAGAGAGTTTAGATTTACCATCCCCCATACAGGGCTTCGACCAACGTTGGTGTCTTATATTGTGTGTGTATGCTTTATTCTCCCTCTTCTTTAACCTCTAGCCATAGTGCGTGGGGACGGACAACGCTCGTTCGTAGTTGGCTTAGCTAGTGGGTGCTCGGCAACACTAGCGGGTGCTCGACAAGACTGGTGAGGGGTTCACTCACCTGAGCCGGTGATCCTGTGGACTAACAAGTGGTATCGGAGCCGTACAAGCGTCGTCGTCAGACTAACCGCTGGCGATGACGGGCGGTTCGGAGATGGGCGACAGCAGTGGTACTGCTGTGGTTGCCCAACCATGACCGGAGGTCGTTATTCGCACGGTGTGGGAGGTCAGCGGCACCAGTTGGCTGACGCTGACTCGCACCAACTATGGAGACTGGTCGGTGACCATGAAGGTCAAGCTCAGAGCCCGACGGCTCTGGAATGCTGTTGACAATGGCATCGACAATGAGGAAGATGACATATCAGCGTTGGAGGCTATCCTTGCTGCTGTACCGGTGGAGTACAGGGAGCCATTGGGGGTGAAGAGCTCTGCTAAGGAGGCGTGGGAGGCTATTGCGGCGATACGCGTCGGTTCCGACCGCCCAAAGAAGACGACGGCCTAGCTTCTGAAGCAGGAGTACACCAACCTCAAGTTCAAGGATGGTGAAACCATGGAGGACTTCTCCCTCCACCTGCAGATGCTCATCAGCAAGCTAAAGAGCCATGGTGTCACCATCGACGAAGAGGAGGCGGTCTCCAAGTACCTCCACTCCGTGCCAGCAAAGTACATTCAGATCGCTCTCTTCATAGAGACGATGCTGGACTTGTCCACCCTCACCATTGAGGATGTGACAGGCCGTCTGCGGGCGGTGGACGAGCGCCTAGAGCAGGCAACAACAGCGAAGGACAGCGGTAAACTGCTGCTGAAAGAGGAGGAGTGGGCTGCTCGGAGGAACTCTAGGAAGGCAACCTCCAACCGCGGTGGCGATGGCAAGCGCCGCGGCAGGGCTTCTTCGGAGAAGAAAAAGCAAGTTGACCCCAACGCCTATCGGCACTGTGGGAAGATGGGCCATTGGACATGGGAGTGCCCAAATCACAAACAGGATAAGAAGGCCGAGGCTCATCTGGCGCAAGCTGATGATGATGATGAGGCCACTATCCTGATGGCGACATTCTGTGCACTGCATGACGTCGAGACCGAAGAGAAGGAAGAGGCAACGACGGCGGAAGGACCTAGGAAGGCCCTAAAGACTGTTAAGCTCGACGAACCGCGTGCCCAAGTCCACCTCGGACGTGTGGGCGCTGACCAGGAGCAGTGGTGGTATCTGGACTTTGGTGTCAGCAACCACATGACAGGCTCTAGGGCATCCTTCTCTGAGCTCGACGATGATGTTACCGGTACGGTGATGTTTAGTGACGGCTCAAGGGTGGCTATCCAAGGGCGCGGCACCATCATCTTTGAGTGCTAGAACGGGGAGCACCGCGCGCTAACGGATATATATTACATCCCGCAACTACGTTCCAGCATCATCAGCATTAGTCAGCTAGATGAGCGCGGTAGCGAGGTACTGATCAAGGACAGGGTCCTTAGGATCAGGGACCGGGAGCAGCGACTTCTCGCCAAGGTGAAGAGGTCCCTAAACCGGTTGTACCTACTCGACCTGAAGGTAGAGCAGCCAGTGTGCCTGATGGTAAGGCACACCGAGGAACCGTGGATGTGGCATACCCGGTTTAGACATCTCAGCTTTGACGCGCTTGGACAGCTAGAGAAGATGGTCCAAGGGCTACCCCATATCAAGCACGGAGGCGAGTTGTGTGACAGCTGCCTGGCCGGGAAGCAGAGGAGGCTACCATTCCCAAAGGCGGCCAAGTATCGCGCGAAGGACGCTCTCGAGCTCGTCCACAGCGACCTCTGCGGGCCGATCACGCCTGCTACAAACGGTGGTCGGCGGTACTTCCTCCTGCTCGTGGATAATTGCAGTCGCTACATGTGGCTGCAACTCCTGATGAGCAAGGACGAAGCGACGACGGTGATCAAGAAGTTCAAGACACGCGTGGAGGCCGAGAGCAGCAAGAAGCTCCGCGTGCTGAGGACTGATCGCGGCGGCGAATTCACTTCGGTGGAGTTCGCTACGTACTACACTGATCAGGGTGTGGTGTGACACCACACCGTGCCGTACTCGCCACAACAGAATGGCGTGGTGGAGAGGCGGAACCAGACGGTGGTCGCCATGGCTCGATCCATGATGAAGGCCAAAGGCATGCCGACAAGGTTCTGGGGTGAGGCAGTGACCACGGCTGTGTTCATCCTCAACCGCGCTCCAACCAAGGCCCTGATGGGCAAGATGTCGTTCGAAGCTTGGTATGGGCGCAAGCTGAACGTGTCCTTCCTCCGGACATTCGGCTGTATCGGCCACGTTAGGAAGACGAAGCCGAACATCACCAAGCTAGAGGACAGGAGCACACCGATGGTGTTCCTGGGCTACGCGGAGGGTACCAAGGCGTACCGGCTCTACGACCCACACGGAGACAAGGTGCTTATCTCGCGCGACGTCGTGTTTGATGAGAAGACGGCTTGGCACTGGAATAGTTCGAGCACGAGGGAAGCTGGCGGCTTTACCAGCACCTTCGTCGTCGAGCACTTGGTCATCCACGGTGGTGGAGACACTAGGGAAGAGGTGCTGAGCACTCCGGGAGGAGTGCCGAGCACTCCAGTGGTAGAGCCGAGCACTACTAGGGCAGTGCCAAGCACTTCGGGAGGGATGCCGAGCACGCTAGGAGTGGTGCCGGGAGGTTCTACAGTGGTGGCGACCACTCCAGGACGAATGTCGAGCACTCCCATGGCGGAGCCAAGACGTCTTGCAGTGGTGCCGACCACTCCAAGACTGAGGCTGAGCACTCCTACAGTGGTGCCGAGCACTACTAGAGTTATGACGAGCTGTCCAGAAGTAGTACCAAGCACTACAACCAGGGTGCTGAGCACTCCGGTGGAACAGGAAACTCCATCGACGCCGATCGAGTTCGCCTCAACTCCCTGTGACATCACTGAGTTCGTAGATGCCTTCCACGAAGGTGAGGAGGTGCGGTTCCACAGGCTGAATGACATCGTCGGCGGCACAGGACCCTCAGGACTGGCTGGTTGGCTGCTCAATGACGCAGAGCTGCTGCTCGTCAGTGCAGAGGAACCACCCACGTTTGCGCTGGCCGAGAGGGACGGAAACTGGCGATAGGCGATGCTGGAGGAGATGAAGGCGATCGAGGAAAACGAGACTTGGCAGCTCGTCGATCCACCTCCAGGATGTTGTCCGATCAGCCTGAAGTGGGTGTACAAGGTCAAGCGAGAGGAGCTCGGTGCCATTGTCAAGCACAAGGCGCACCTCGTTGCCTAAGGCTTTGTTCAGTGCGAGGGCATAGACTTCGAGGAGATCTTTACGCCAGTAGCGCGCATAGAGTTGGTCCGTTTGCTACTAGCCTTGGTAGCAGCAAAGGACTGGCGCATCCATCACTTGGACGTTAAATCGGCCTTCCTCAACGGCGAGCTGACGGAGATGGTCTTCGTCAGGCAACCTCCAGGTTTCACCATCAAGGGAGAGGAGCACAGGGTGCTCCGACTGCGCAAGACGCTCTATGGGCTACGGCAGGCCCCACGAGCATGGAACACCAAGCTTGATGCCACGCTAGGCGAGCTTAGGTTTCAACGGTGCGCAACCGAGCACGTGCTCTACACGCGGCGACGGGGGAAGGAGGAGCTCGTCGTCGACGTGTATGTGGATGACTTGATCGTCACCGACGCGCGCACGGAGGACATCAACGGCTTCAAGCGTGAGATGGCGGCTCGTTTTCGAATGAGCGATCTCGACGCACTCTCCTACTACCTCGGCATCGAGGTGAGATAGGGGAAGGAGGAACTCACCCTCGGTCAGAGCGCATATGCCTTCAAGCTGTTGGAGCGGAGCGGCATGGTTGAGTGCAAGCCATGCGTGACTCCTAT